GGAGAGTCGCGCATGGTATAAGCACATATCCCCAAAGTTTCAGCCTTCTAGCTTTTCTGGGTCTCGTTGAAGTGGATGACGAAAAGTGCGGACACACACACACACACACACACACACACATACAGACAGCCTCTTCCCAATATGCGTTTTTGCAGTTTACATATATGCAAAAACGCATAAAAATCGTTAGTTCTGCAAGTTCGCTTATTTTGTCATGAATGACAAAGCCTGAGCTGGCTGGAATTGAGCAACTCTTATACTGCTGGCATGGGATTTCAAAGAATTTAGACTTATGCACTGAATCCACCAGTGTTTCTTAAATTAAGAAACTTAGCATTCGTAGGGAAAACGCTCCATTAAATTTTTTTTCACGTCCAAGACATTCAAAAATTGGTCCCTTTCCATCGTGCTCAACGTGCTGTTGCTCCACAGCACCATTACTAATACGAATTTCCGCATCATTTCTCTAGACGATTTCTTAGTATTGACAATTTACTATCACACCACGAATTAATTTGAGTGCCAACTTTTTCCGACTCCCTCACTTTCCATCATTCTTTTGTATTTCATTCTTGTTTCGTCGCCTAATGGAATTTGTTTGCTATTGCAGTTTATAAACTTTTATAAACTTTTGCAGTTTAAAAACTCTTTAATCGACGACGATGAGTTAAAAATAAAAATACAAAATACAGACCAGTACATAATCTAGAAGACACACTACAGCTATTTCTGCGCCAGTTGATTTAAGCAAGTCGCCTTCATCGGGTTGTATACGGCCATTGTAGGTATTCTTGACATCTTCGGATTCGAGGATATCGGTGCGCAGTGGAACTCATTTGAACAACTTTGTATTAATTATGCAAACGAGCATCTGCAAGCTTATTTCAATCAACATATTTTCCAGTTTGAACAGGTTGTGCATTTTCTTCAGTCTCTCATGTTCTGTTCTTATCCAGTTTCCTTATTTCCCGGATTTTGTATCTGAGTTCCTTAGGCACATAGACACAAACTATGTCTGATAAAAAGGTGGAGTCCACTGTTTCTTATGTGAATTTTCCAAATTTTTATTACTTGAGACCCCTTCTTTTTCCTTGGTTTGGAAAATTCGTCTGAATGAAATCTTTTTTTATTTTGGTTACCTGCTGCTTCGTTGTTGCTTTCCCCTTGTCACTGGTACAGCTGATAATCTCTCCATTCCTCTGTGTTTCGGGCTTCTCTCATCCACGTATTCCATATAGCCATTCAAATAAGACCATCCATTTGCACTGGCATTCTCCTACTTTTCGAGCTGGCAGTCATTCTTATTAGGAGAAAATTTGCTAAATTGTTTGAAATATGCGCCGAATAATGCGATATTGCAGGAGGAATATTTGAAGGAAGGAATAAGTTGGACAAACATTGAGTACATCGACAACACAGAATGCGTACATTTGTTTCAAGTAACGCACTCGAATCCTATAAATTAGAAACTTTTTCAGTTCTAAAATTGCTTAGTTTATCAGTGCTGTGTTGTGCGTTGATCAACATCCCGGCTATCCTGATGCCCGTTCTGGGATTACCAGCTCAAATTTTTTCACTCAGAAGCATTTGGCAAAAATTCCCGTTTCGGGTTGCCTTTAATGTGTAATCCATATTTTAGCATGGTCCTGAACGTTGCCATTCCCAGAAATGTAGTACTTTATTGACTAGAAACCATATAAATTAAATTATTGAAATCATGAAAACGAAAAAGCAAAATAGAGGAAGGTGAACCGGAAAAGAGGCAAGATCTCCGTTTTCAGACCAACTGAACTATTTTGAGAAAAAAATAACAGTTTAGTCTTCCAATGGAAAATTTCAGAGCAAACCCTATGGGATCTTACGACTGATCGATGAGGAGAGTAACATCAATAACGGAACCGATGAATCGATGTTGGATAAGCTGAATTGCTTTTTGAAGAATAACGAATACTACGAGATACCACAGAAACGAGAATCGGCGTTTACTGTGGCTCATTATGCTGGCAAAGTGAAATATCAGATTGCGGTCAGTGAGTGAAATGAAATCTGAACAATTTTTGATTTTCAAATAGAACATACGTCGTGCGTTTGCTAAATGGTGGAAAAATTATTCGGCTAGAACTTAAATTATTTCTTTATTTCTTTTGTTTATTGAAATACTGAATTACAAGAATGAACGAAATAGTGAATTCTAGTGTTTTCAATTACTTGGGCACAGATGTAGCTCTTCTCACTTTTTTTTGATTTATAGCTGCAAATTTGATTAAAAAATATTGTCGTCAAACATTACTATTGATAAATATAGGTGCATTTACTAAGAATAAGACCACCCGGACCACTCGGACAATCGGTTTGAGTATCCTATATTAGTATCATTACTGGGATGCTCTCATACGAGGAACTCAACTGTGCCGGGTTTTCGATCCTAGATTGCATACCTCCAGTTGGTACCAAACACCGTCTGTTTGATGTATTTTCTTCACTACTTTTGGATTGCCATCAGTTATCAAATTCCCACGTAGTCGTTAACGCCGCTGGTCAAGCATGATAAGTAATTGCTTATATAGCACGAGGTGATACGCCTAGCATTCTTTGCTCTCTGCTGTCCCGGTTATAAGTCGTGTTCGCTCGTTTGCTCTCGTCGAAGATCACTGTGAAACGTGGTCAGAAAGGCACATAGTAAAATACGGTTCTTTATAATTACAGTAGAGAATATAACATGGATACTCATTTTTCGCTAGTGCTGAGCGACTGTAAAATTACTTGCAGAATGCAAATCAAATGGGAGAGTCAAAGAAAGAAAAGAATGATGAAGGCCAGAGAGGGGTGCGTGGGGAGTAAATGTCATTTGAGTGTAAAACCTCAGCCTAATTCGGAATCAGCTTACTACTCGATGTATGGCCCAGTCCTGAAAACATTCATCAGAATTTCAGGGTTTTCGTGAGAAGAATAAAGATCTCATGCGGCAGGATGTTCTTATGACAATCAAGAAAAGCAAAAGCGCATTTGTTCGAGGATTAGTCGGTGATGATCCAGTTGCGGTGTTCCGGTGGAACATGATCCGAGCAACATTTCAGGCAGTGAATGCTTTCCGGCAGGCTGGTAAACTGATGGCAAAAGCAGGTCATTTAGCTTTTTTCGAAACAGTTCCTCAATAAACAATATCAAAACTCTCACAGCTTCAGTTGATAATTCCAATCAGAACTGGAATTCAACAAAGCATTGTGTTTTCCTGGCAAGTCGAAATGTACTCCCCACATTTAAGTTATATTTGAGTAAAGCTTGGCCAGGCCCTTAGCTTTTTGCCTAGTTGCTTCCAATTACTGCTGTACTTCCCTGAATTTTCCCAAGGACTTACATGAAATATTTTTATCTGTTAGCTCAGCGTTGTTTTATACGGTCTCACTACACATGCAGATAGCATGGAACATCTGAATTTGCCTCAAAGTGCCAATGCAACACTAAAGCGAGTTGGCTCGGACGTACATCTCAGTGCATTCTTGCGTGGTGAAATAACGCCCGAATTAGTACCCGATTTCTGCGACACATCGTTTTTCAAAACGATCGCTACGCATGCACGCAAGCCGCCCGGAATGCAAGCCGAAGATCGACACAGCGCCTTGAAGACTTTACAGGTAAACATATTTCACATACATCAAGTATTGGTTTGTCAATCAAGGCGCGGTAAAATTAGGCACATAGATGGTATTTTAATGCAGCTCTCAACAACCTTTAATTTATCAGTGTGCTGTTTTCATCGTTTATACCCAAAAACTTGCTTCATTTTAAATAGCATAACTGGACAAAGGGATACGGTAACAGGATTAAAAGTTATTAAGAGGATCTATTTGTCGACCAAAATTAGCTGTAGCTGAATAGCCCGACCTTTCAGCTGTACAGCTGGCAAATTCTTCAGTTGTTTTGTCCAGTTAATCAACCACCATAACTATTTCTTACTGAAGTCGTCCAGTAGCGGTGCTGGATGGGAATATGTGCAATTTTAATGAGCCGAAATATTCCTACTCAGTTGATCAGTTATTTTACATAAATTAAAGGCTAAATCCAGCCTCTTTTTTCAAAACCCAGGCTGGAATGCACCAAGCAAGCCGGTGTGATCATGCGTTTTTGCACAAAACTTGAATTGGGTTAACTGCATGAACGGTTGTTTCT